TACTGCGCAATAGCATTAATAAGTAAGTGAAGTTCTACACCACACTGGTAAAACACGGTGAATAAGCGCGTCAGTTTGGAGTGGACAGAACCACCTACTGTTTGTACTGTTTAATCTCCGGGAGAACCTAATTATGAATGCAATCAGAACAAGGTCGCATTGCTGTGGCATGCTTCGACCTTGTATGATTGTATGACCGGATGAGATAATCTCTGTTTTCTTCGGGGTTCCAATAAAGACCCAAGGATTCAAAGCTCAAGCATTAAGATTGACTGCAGGGTGAATAGTGACGAAAAAAAGTCATAAATGGTACTCCTTGCTCCCGAATCTACGTCAGTAAAAATAACCGAGTAGTCAGGGCGCTCATGAAGGTAGACTAATAGAAGTATAGAATGCACACAGGAGAAAAAGATGACCTCCTGACAGGTTCCATCTGTTCGCAAATGCACGCGGGTGTCAGCTGCTAACCCTGTTATCACGGCAGTGATCATTTGGAAAGGAATATGCTCGTCCTAGGGCCTTGTAAGACGAGCAGCTTCGAGCTGGCAGTGTGTCAAGCAAACAGCAGCAACTTCCTCACCTTAAGGAAGGTGATGGAGTGTAACGACAGCTCGTCCATCGCAAACGATGAAAACTTGCATTGTCATGAGAGTGTAGTGATATTTCGAGCGTCGATTTTGATGATATCCACCGTAACTTCTATAACAGAAGGGTCCAGGAGCAGTGACTATACGGTAGATGATAGTGAGAGTATACTTGCACCGTATATACCTCATTCTCTGTCCCCTTATCCCCCTGGACCCGGTGTCATGACATAGTAAAGAAGGCCGGAAGCGTGATCGGGTGCGGGAAAAAGCGCCCCTCTCATTCGCACCCCAAAGGCACCCGGCTAGGATTCCGCTTAAGTTGGAGTGCCAATTCGGCCACATTGAAAGGGAGTCATTGCAGTGTGACTCTGAGGCCGCCAGCCAGCCACTTCACAAAACAAGACACACACAAGACTGACCGTTCGGTCCGGGTTATCCATTGTAAACCCTCCAATATACGGCTGTTAGCCAACCGTGATGGCTCTTATTGTGTCAGGTTTTTATAATGAAGAAAGAAGCGTGCTGAGACATCGATATCACTCTCTCCACAGCGTAAGCATCAAACCACTGCCGAGCAGGTCAATCGCCTGATGTGGGATGGGCCCAGTTGCTGATAGGCCGGCGAACACGTCTGCGCGCACCACATAACGATCTAACACATTTGGCACACACAAAGCAGGATTCACACAA